TTTAGCCCCCTTGGAATGGCACCTGTCGTTGGATTGGTCGGTTTAGGCTTATTTCAAAGAGGTTTTCCTGCAGTAAGTTCGATCATATTAAAAAACTTTCACGTTGTTACAAACATATCCATAATTACTTATTGATTGTACTGTATTATTATTTGCTTTTTGCAGCTAGGAAATTGTGTCGAAATTGGCCTGCCGACTCTTTTCTTAGTTATCGGCTTGTCACAGGTAACTAACTGGTTTTTTTCATTTAATTAACCCCCTTTTCTTTTTCTACACAATCTTATGTGATTTTTTTTTCTCATTTGCAGTACCTAAAGCATGTTAAGCCACTGAGTGACTTCCCGATATTTGAACGTTTTCCCGTATTAGTAAGTGTGGCCATTATGTGGATATACTCGATTATTCTCACAGCTAGTGGAGCTTACCGAGGGAAACCTCATGTTACCCAACTTAGTTGCCGTACGGACAGGGCAAATCTTATATCCACGGCTCCATGGTATTTTACTTGAAAACAAAAAAATGTTTTTTTTTTCTTTTTTCAAGATTCTTTATCTGATCTCTCTCTCTTTTTTTTTTCTTTCTTTCTTTTACTTTGTTTAAGGTTCAAGTTCCCGTATCCTCTTCAGTGGGGTCCACCGACTTTTGCAGCCGGTCACGCTTTTGCCATGATGTCTGCTGTTCTTGTGTCGATGGTCGAGGTATATAGATATTATATGGTCTTTTTTTTATTTTTTTTTATTTTTTAATTTTTTTGCAGTTTCGGATTATTCTCTGTTTAATTTTGACTAGTTATTTATTTACCCCTTATGACTACTCCAGGTTCGCTTCAGATATATGATGGAATCATTTTACTGTGAAGTGAAAATTTTACGAAAATGGATTTGGACACTGAATAGAATTTCTTATTATTTTTGGTTATTAGTAAATATGATTTTTCGGCTAATTGTGCAGTCAACAGGAGCATACAAAGCTGCATCTCGTCTGGCAATCGCGACTCCACCACCTGCCTATGTACTCAGTCGAGGCATTGGTTGGCAGGTGTGCCAGCTCATCTAATACTCAGTCTAATTTCTCTTTCTTCAGAAATAAATTTTGCTACCGAGGGAAAAAAAATATGAGTTGATTTTATTACCTTTAGTATGATTCATGATGGATTTTGAATATGAGGACACATTGTGTGATATATCTTTGTTTGCATTAAGGATCAAGAAAATGTTAATGCATGTGAAAGCAAAATATATATGCAAATAAATGATCTATGATATTATTATTGGTAAATTTCTACTTGAAAAAATACTAACCCCAGCATTCAAATTTCTGAAGAAATCTTATACTAAAGTTGATAATAACATTACAAAAAACTTAAGACAAGCTTAAGGTAAAGTAATTTTCATGCAATATTATCTCTAGATGAGCTAAAGTGCTAAACTAGTCTATATTTTGCAGGGCATAGGTGTTTTGCTCGATGGTCTTTTTGGAACACTAGCTGGCTCTACAGTATCCGTGTATGTGATTCAACATTCGATTTAAAAAAAAAAAACTAAACATGGCAGATTGAGATTTGTACGTAATCTTGAGCCTAGTACTTGAAAGTGGGGGTTTTAATTTAAAGTTTAAACCTTTTTTTCAGGGAAAATGTGGGACTCCTTGGATTAACTCGGGTCGGAAGCCGTAGAGTGGTTCAGATTTCAGCTGGCTTCATGATATTCTTTTCTATCTTAGGTCAGTATTAGTAAGCTCTTACTGATATCTTGATGGTTAATGACAAATACTGCCCTCCATATTTTATTGTGGTTAAAAAAATAATCTTTTTCGAAATAACGAGACCACCTTAAGAAACTAACAAAAACTTAACAAATTACTATATGGCACAAGAATTTCCTTTTCATCTACCTATAAAATAAAAGTTAGAGCCAAACAATCATTTCTATTATATGCTGCTGCTGATGATTTTTTGGCTCTGAACTAACGCAGGCAAATTCGGAGCTGTTTTTGCATCTATACCATTTACGATATACGCTGCAATATATTGTGTTCTATTTGGCCTTGTAGGTATGGTATTAAACTATTAAATTATCATACATAAAAGAGTTTATAATATATCCTCCTCAAGATTCATATCATTTTTTACGATTGTTAATTGATTTTTTGACGTTTAATATGCGCAGGTTCGGTTGGCTTATCATTCCTTCAATTCACTAACATGAACTCAATGAGGAACCTCTTTATAACGGGTCTTTCGCTTTTCCTCGGCATCTCTATTCCTCAATTTTTCGACGAGTATTGGTCATTCACTCGTCGTGGGCTCGTTCACTCTAATGCTGGATGGGTGAGAGATTCTTTTAAATCGACTAATTCAATTCAACCTATAATAAGTTTAACACGAATGCAATTAATCGTTAAGTACTTTCTTTCTTTGTTTTCATTTTTTTTTTCTTTTTTCAGTTCAATGCAATCTTGAACACCATTTTCATGTCGCCCCCAACAGTCGGGTTAATCATAGCCGTGTTTCTCGATAACACATTGGAAGTGGAGAAGTCGAAGAAGGATCGAGGCATGCCGTGGTGGGTTAAGTTTCGAACGTTTAGAGGCGATAATCGGAATGAAGAGTTCTACACATTGCCATTCAATCTCAATAGATTTTTCCCTCCCACATAGACTAAATAAAGCCTTTTTTCTCTCACTTTTTTAGGTCCCTTTTGAGAAAAATGGCTTTATGGGGTTTACTTGTTAGCAATGGTTTTAGGTTTGAGGTGCTCTTAGAGCTAAGTTTACATTTTGTGGGAAAATTGGCAGAACTCAAGTGCAAGCTG